GCACCTCTAGGACAGGGTATAGGAAGCATTTGCTGCATTTTTTTTGAGTTCCAATAATCGTTCCTTTAAATGAGGACTCAAACTTCAATTTCCCAACTTGGGCGTGCAGTTCATTACGGCCGAAAATAAAAAAGCCCCTACAATTCGATTTGTAGGGGCTTTAAACATGAAATTGGTTGCATAAACGACATGGGCAATGCATATTATACGGAAATTAGTCGAAATTACCTCAAAAAATCGAAACCCAATGGCTATTCGAGCTTGATTTCTTCTTTTTCGAATTTTTTTTTTTTTTTTTTGCTATTTGCGGTTTTTGGCTTTTGAAAGTTTAGAGAGAGAGGGGTTTTTTTTTATGAGCCGCGAATAGCAAAAACGCAGCCGCGAATAGCATTTCCGATATATATATATATATATATGTGTGTGTATATATTATCTAAATATTATTTTTAACAAAAAAAATCAAGAAAGTTCTCAAAGTTTGGAACGTCAACTACTGCAAGTTACATGGGATGAGAATGTTTTCTAGGATTATTTGACGGTTAAAAGAGAGCTTTTACAAGTTGAAGAATGGGAAGCAAAATTTGATTATCAGAAAGCGAGGATTGCTTGGTCTAAAGATGGTGATAGAAACAAAAATATCTATCACGCTTCAATTAAAGAAAGACGGCGGAAACAACAGATATCTTTAATGAAGCGAGATGGTACTCGGACCCAATCTAGCAAAAGAAGTAGCGGAGGTGGTGGCGGAATTTTACTGGGAGCTTTTCTGTGGATCTCCATATTTTATCGACGAGGAGCTATTTGTTCATACTAATCCGACGGTGACTAGTGAGATGAACGAGGAGATTTGTAATTATCCGATGGAGTTGGAAGTTAAAGAGGCCATTGAAGTCTTAACCCAAATAGTTCCCCGGGTGAGGATGGATTTATGGGTTATTTTTATCGATCGTGCTAGAATATATCGAAGGTACGTGATCTTATGGCGGTAATTACAAACTTCTTCAAAGGTGGATATCTTTCCTCGGGGTTCATTAAAACCCTCCTAGAGCTGAGATATGAGATTTTCATCCTATAATTCTTGGGAGCTTTTATGGAAAAATAATATCTAAAATCATGGCAATTAGGATGGCTGAAATTCTTCCTAATATTATCGATGAGGAGAAAGCTGGCTTTGTAAAAGGTCGCAGTATTACTACACATATAGTGCTTGCTCAAGAGATTATGGGAAATATGCAGAGCTTCGGACGGAGGCAATATGGTGATTAAATTGGATATGGCTAAAGCTTACGATCGCTTGGAATGGAGGTTTTTACTTCGAGCCATGAAAGCATTTGGATTTTCTTACCAGGCTTGTGATCTAATCTATCAAAATATTTGCAGCATTGGCTATGGATTTCGTATTAATGGGGAGATTGTGGTCATTTTCGATCGTATCGAGGGGTTCAGCAGTGGGACCCATTATCTCTAATGCTTTTCATTCTGGCTCAACAAATGTTAACTAGCAACTTAAAGAAAGAGATCTCGTTAGGAAAGATTCGTCTGATCCTTTATTTCGGCATTCCGGGATTGGTGGGTCGTAACAAGGCGAATAATTATGAATTTCTAGTGAATAAGATCCGTATGAAACTTGATGGTTTGAAAGCTCGATTACTTTCATTTGGCGGGAAAATTACCTTGATTAAATCAGTCTTGTCTAGCGTACCAATTTACACACTTGCCGGTTCATATGTTCCAAAATCAGTCCTTAATAGGATTGAGCATCTTATGGCAATGTTCTTATGGAGCTGCGCGATATCATTAGGTCAAGTGGGACAGAATATGTCGACCTGTAGAATAAGGCAGATTGGGTATTAAGAAGTTGATCCAAGTTAAAAGTTGTATGCACGGGAAACTTATGTGGTTGGTATATAAGGGGGGCTCTCTCTCGGCAAGTTTTGTAAAGCAAATATTTTCGTAATGGGGTGATGATCCATAACTATTTTACATCGGCGCTTTTGAAAGCTATAAGTCTTTATGGTCCTTTGATTGATAATATTTCTCCGTGGATAGTAGGGAATGGAACAATTAGATACGGGCCGGGTACCTACAAACCCGTCCCATCCCCGCACCCTGTCATTTTTTTTTTCAATCCCTAATCCCACCCCATATTTCGAGGCGGGGCGGGAATCCATTGAAGCGGGTCAAATTGTCATCCCTACCGCTAATGCTTATGTGTGTCCAGACCCAAGAGAAAAATATGGAGAGAATGTAAGCAAAATATTCTGCAGTATAAAAGAATAATTAATTGATATACCTGTATTTCTAATTGAACTATTTATATAATAAATTCATTTAATTTTGAGCCTAAAATAAACTTGGGCTTTAGTTAATCATTGGGAACAATTTCAAGAAATGGAAAAACAAAACAATAAAAAATGAAACAGTTAACGAAAATGGATCAGTGGTTCCACTGCAAGTAGTGAAAATAATATAAATAAATACACATGTAACAATTTCAACAAATTAGGAAAAGAAAAAAAACCGTTAAATTTCGACAACTTGTTATCGATTTTTCAAAAATTTCGATGTTGAGAGGCTGAAAATTTTAAACAAATCGACAACTTCTTGTCGATTTGTTTAAAAATTTCGACATTAAAATGTTGAAAATGTCGAAAATATCGACAAAAAGTTGTCGAACTTTAACAAATTTTCAACATGTTAGATGTCGAAATTTGAAAACAAATCAACATCTACATATCGAAATACCACACGAAGAAAACTAAAAAATAAACGACCAAATTCAACCAAATTATAAGCATCCACAAACAAATATCAATCATTCAATGCTTAAAATCCATATTTATATAATAACCATGCTACATTTTCTAATTTCGTTGAGTTTATAAACAATTTAAAAAAAAAAAAGAAAAATAAATACTTACTTAGAAGGTGTTTGACTAAGCTTATTTTAAACAACTGATAAGCGCCTACGTTTGATAAGATGTTTTAAGAGCTGATAAGCTGTTACATCTTATTTTTAGGATTATTTTTTAGAGTGTATGGATAATTAGTTTATTTCCTATTTTTACTCATTATAAGATTTTAAAATAAAATTGTGGGATAGATGTACTTTTTAAAAAAAAATCTTATTTGCTATCCAACAACTTATTAATTAAAAAAAAAATAAAGATCTTTTTTTAAAAATTTACCAAACACTTTGGAAAAGCTTATAAGCTCTAAAACATCTTATAAGTTTTAACATTTTATAGGCTTAGTCAAACACCCTCTTACGTCAGATAAGTTTTTTTAGAGCCGATAAGTTGTTACATCTTATTTTTAGGATTAATTTTTAGAGTGTTTGGATAATGAGCTTATTTTCTATTTTTACTCATTATAAGATCTTAAATAAAAATGCGGAGTAGAGATACTTTAAAAAAAAAAAATTTTTCTCTCCAACAGCTTATTTAAAAGAAAAAAAATTAAGATCTTTTTTTTAAAGGGCAAATGGCAAATAGGCCCATGACAAGGGCACTTAATTAAAAGAGGGACATCCAACTTTTTTGTCTTTCAAATAAATCCAACTCATTCAAACTTATTTGCAAATAAGGAAAATCCTTTTATATATACCAAAATTACCCCCAATTCATTGAAACCCAATTCAATTCCAATTTCATGATTTACACCCCAATTTAGCCCAATTTTATCAATTAACCAATTTTAACTCTAATTTCAATTTTGACCACAATTTTGACCCGCCACCACCGGAGACCACCCGTCGCAGCCATTAACTTTTTTTTTTTTTTTTTTTTTTTTTTTGAAAAACTTTTTTTTCCCTGAAATTTTTTTCTGGCCGATCAACTGCCGTTGACTTTTTTTTTTTTTTTTTTATAATTTTGTTTTTTCTTAAAAAAAATATTTTAATTAATATTACTGTCTTGGCTGCTAAATTACTGTCTCCGGCAGTTATTTAACTGTCGGAGACAGTAAGTTAACTGTTAATTGACTATTTTTTTTTCTTCCAAAATATTTTAATTAATATTACTGTCTTTGCTACTAAATTACTGTCTCCAGCAGTTATTTAACTGTCGGAGACAGTAATTTAACTGTTAATTGACTTTTTTTAAAAATATTTTAATTAATATTACTGTATTCGTTGCTAAATTACTGTCTCCAGCAGTTGTTTAAC